AGATCAAGACTCAAAAACCCTTAAGCAAGTGAGGTAAACCAGGGTATCTCACATTCCTCTAGGACCATCATGGTGAACCTGTGGCACACATGCCATAGTGGGCTGTTTGTATTATTCTCCATCACTGCTCTAGGAGATCAGTGGTCTGATGGGTGGATAAAATACAGCCCTTTCTTTTAGCTCCGTGGAAAACAGTGGTGCATAGTAATTCATAATAAAAAGTAGCTGGTGCTTGGGTGCCGTATCTAGATGACAGCAGATAGCCATGAGGACTGTGGCACATAGGGAGCACATGCTTCATTTATAGGGACAACAATTAGAGCCTCATTCAGTTGATGCTTTGGGCAGGTTGGCAGTGTGGACCTAGTGCCGATAGGTTTTACAAACCTCTTAGCATATGTGAGACCTTATTCTAAGTGCTTAATATACTGACCTAACAGTGACACTAAAAATGTGGTGCGGGTTCCCACAAGCTGATACCTCAGCCAATTCATGATAAGTTCCTTGGGATATGCAATTCAGACATATCTTCTCTTTGTATTTCCTCCCAAAGGATGGGACGATATTATTCTAGGAAGGTGTTGCCTCGAAGGAGAAGAGAGCACATTTAAGTAAGCTAGCCTGTCTCCTCTAACTCTCTTTAATGTGGTGGTCTCCCTCAAGATTCATTTAAAAAGTTTAGAGGATGTGGTAGGACATAGGTCATTCTGTCCTTGTATCAACAAATGAAAGTGTTTTGCTTTCAGCAGAATTTTCATATTCCTTCTGAATCTTTATTTCATATTTTGAGTTATTGATTTACTCTTTTGTGTTCTGAAGCCACACCCTCTTCGATGCAGTGCTTTTCTTTTATATCCAGTGAGTTCATTTTTGATTTCTAAATATGCAGAAAAAACATTAGTTATGGACACAAATACAGCCAGTTTCTTTACACAAGAGGAAATTAATATTTCTTCTAGAAAAGCCACCATATGTCGGGAGGGCGCCAGTTGGTATTCAAATGTGAGTGAAGACAGATGGTCTTCCAAACACAGACCTATTAAAGTGTATGTCAATCCTTTTCAGCCTTGGAAAATATTATAGGCACAACAGTGATGGAATTTGAGTATTATTGAATGTTCTTTACTAACTTCTTTTCATGGCTGAAGTCTCAGGCAAAATATCCATAATAAAACACTCCTAGTTAGAAATTAATGGCTCCTGTTTTACTATAGGAAGTATGCAATGGCCAGACTGGCAAGCTGTGAAGGGGCCTGGCTTCAAACATGCATTGAAAAGCCAACATATCAACAGCAGCTCAAAGAATTTTTGAGTGGTTCTGTTTATTTTTCTTGAAATACCTATCGTTGAGGGTTTAAATTCATTCGGTTGAGCTCCAGGATTCCAAGGCAAAGCCTGAATAAGCTTTTAATGAAATAGGAAGCTAGAAGTCAGAGGAGGATGGCAACGTAGACTGCAGCGATACACCTGAGACATGCAAAAATGAGAGGATCCACAGCCCAACCCCAAAGCTTTGTACCCAGTTCCAGACACCATCAGAGTGGCCCTTATCTCTGGGAGTATGTGGTGAGCAAGATGTCTCCTGTAAACTGTTTTCTAGATTTCTGTTTCCAGCATCCTCTGAATGTTTTCGATCTGTTTATATCAGGCTGTGATGTACATGGAAATTACCTAGGCCTCTTGTAGAACTGCAGATTCTGACCCAGGAGGCCTAGGCTGAGGTCGGGGTCTGACTTTCTCACCGGCTGCCAGGTGCTGCTGGCCCATAGACCACAGCAGGCTTTGCATGATCTCTATGCTTGTGCTTTTCTTCTGCCACCATTCTGTGAAAGCATGACCATCTGATATTTCAGATAAGACAGGAGGGTTTCACAGAAAGTGCCTACCATGGCATTAACTATTTCCAGTCTTCATAATCATCTTCATCAAAAAAACCTTTAAGTGCCTAATTATGCATGACAGTGTCACATGCTTTACAAAAAGAACTAAATAGATTTGGTCCCTGGCTTATCTGACTTGACAGCCTAAGGCAGAGAAATATGTATAGCACCAGTGATAAATACTGAGTGGTAAATGCTCATCCAGATAAAGAACACATTAAAATAAAAGTGGATACGTATTTAGCATAGGCCTTCAGATACCAATTTTCATACAGCTTTTGTTCCTTTTAAAAATCTTCGAAACTAAAAAAGATCACCCTATAATTTTTACATAAAAAGAAGAGATTTTTTTGTTTTGTTTTACAGATGGGGTTAGGCCTGACGTTATTGTGCACAGTACTGAGTGTGAGTATACAAGTTCATCAAACTACCCTCAGGGCTTCGTACTCAGAGGTCTTAGGCCCACCACTCACCCTCACACTACCCATGGGAAGCAAGGAGGGAGATCTGGACATGGTTATCTCTGAATGATGGATGATGATAGAGGAGGAAACTGATATATCCAAAACCTCATGCTAGTTTATTCGTGTAGAAAGGTTTAGATATGGTTCTCTTTCTTCTGTACACACTTGCATTTGCTGAACTGACCCAAGGAGTTAGCTGTCTTCGATGAGGAATGGATCAGACAAGGGGCCTCTGCAGCAGAACAGGTGCTGCTGCTGGAGGCCAGGCCTCCAGCTTGGCAGAGATTGTGTTCAGGTCCCCATGGTGAGGAATGCTTTGTTATAACCGTATTACTGGTTAGCAGGGTGATGTCAGGATGGCTGAATTTATTGATTTGTTCTAACTCAGCCAGAGCTAAACAAATTATCACAGGTCTAGAAAATGTTTTATCTAATTGAGAATTTCTGAATCAAATATGTGCTAGTAATGAGAGTAGAGACCCTGTGTTACACTTTTTTACTTCAAGTAGGCACATATGGTACTTAGTAGTGAGTGTGGGTACGCTCGGTGACGTGAAGATGAAGAGGAAACTGTGTGTGCCGCAGTCTTAGGCTGCAGTCTGTGTTGTCCCAAATGGTGCATATGTGTGAAGAGACCCTATGGAATCAGGCCCCCTTAGGTTTGAAATTTGACTCCTCCATTCACTGGCTTTGTTAATTCACCTTTCCTTGCCACAGTTTCCCTATCTGTGGACCCAGTAACAAATAGTATGGATCCCATGGAATTGTTGTGAGCGTTACATGACATGGAGATGTATGGATTGTGTGACACACTGTCTGCAAATTGTAAGGACTCATAGCCTATCATTACTAGTAATCATAAAAAAACCAGTATACAGAACGGCGCCTGAAACTATTTATCTTGAAAAAAATCAACAGATGCTAAATTTGGTATTTTTATATTATATCCTATGCAAGTCTTGGTATAGGAGGTTGTGTCTGGGTTAATGAAATGTCACACTGTGTTTATTAGGAATAAAGCTGCTATGGAGACAAAGCCTCTATTAATTAGGTTCAACCTCATCTTTCATTCTGTAGTGCCCCATGCAGCTGTTGTGTCCTTTTTTTAAAATAAATGAAACTCACCTGAAAACTATAAAGCTGTGAATAATTATATATTAAAGCAGGAAGCTAAGCTTTTAAGAAGCCACAAATGGCAATATCATACATCTTTCATTCGTGTCTCGTAATAGATCTGTGGGCAGATGGAATTTTGCAGGCAGGCTTGAGTACACTAAGTATCTGATTGTCCCATCATCAGCAAATAGGAATGGAGAGAGATATCTGGAGCTCGGTCTGAGGAAGTTAGGGGATGTTCTTTGCCTGCAGACAGGGAGGAAAGGCAAGGGAATGTGTTCCTTGGTGGATGCCAACTGTACTGCAAGGATAAGAGGCCTGTGGAGCAAAGGCATGAGTTAGCTGGAAGGAAACTCAAGAAACCGGAATAAGCCATTAAAAGTGGAGCCAGATACACAGGAAGCCAAGCCCTGGTACAGCCCCTAACCTCAGAAACCTGCCTACTAGCACCCCGACAGGGCATCTGTGGCTTTTTTGCAAGTGGAGATTAAGCTACGTTGGTTCAGAAGTAGCAGTGCTTTCATCCAGTTCTTCCCCCACTTTGTTGTACACATGACTCACCTGGGAGCTTGTTAAAATGCAGGTTCTGGTAGGGCTGAGATCAAGCCTGACACCTACATTTCTAACCAGTACCCTGGCATTTCTGAAATTGCTGGTCTAGGGATTGTATTTGGAGAAGCAAGTGTCTAACCCCCACTCTCCCCAAGCATCCCTTTCTCTAACCACCACCTCCTGGCTTTCTGTCGCCTGTACCTTGATTCCACACTGCTCACCACGTACTGATCCTCCTCATTTTCGCTGTCTGTATCCCTTCTACTTATAGCCAGAGTTTTATAAAAGCAGAATTTTAGACTTGAGATTACATTTTTCAAACTTGAATCACACCTCCTCTTGTAGGAAGTGATCTTTATAAGTGATGTAACTTTATTTTTAAGCATAGGGAACCATGTTAAAAATACAGTAAGTATATTTCAAAGTGAAAGCATAAAAGAATATGCCTAGATATGGTCTAACAGTTGCCACACAGGTCTTTGCAATTTCATTGTACCCTCTTTTTCATTTGATGAGACTTTTGCTTTCTAAGGCATGCGGCCATTTGTGTTTGGCTCCATGGTCCCTTGCACACCTCAAAAGGTCTGTGTTTGAGTTCTGTGGTTGCAGTGCTGATATAACTCAGTTACTATCAAAATCTGTGAGAAAGAAGTGAAGGAGGCACTGAGTAAAACTAAAGCCTAAGCATAAATTATCACATTTTCTTAATGCCATCATTTTTATTCTCCTATATGTATAAAATTTAGGCTACTATATAGATCTATGAATATTTTAAGAGCAAGTTTTAACTTTTGCCTTTTAGCAGTCTTGTTCAATGTACGTAGTATTAAAATACTAAAGGTTAATTAAATACTTCTTTGTCTGTTGCTGTCTTTATTGTCCAGAACTTAAATAAGTTAATTAAAAGATAATCGCTTTACCCTTAGTTTTTGTAGTATTAATCAGTAGAGAATTTTGAAATTTTTTTTCTCTTGTGTTTCCTTTCTAGAAGACACAAAGACCTTTTACTATTCATCAGTTGGGGACAACTTCAGATCTGAAAAAGGTATTTATTTCAAGGTATTTGTTTTTCTGTGTGATTGCTCATTCAAGCTGGCTTGTAGCTTAGCTTTTGCACACAGACACTGGTTGTTCATTTGGAGACCCTAAGTTGTAGGCCTGGAGACACACAGGTGGAAAAACTCAAAGAGTGAGCTAGTCCAATTTTGAGTTTAAACCATGGGTTTGCTGGGATACAGACCAAGACATAGCAGGTGTGTTTCCTGTAACACAGTGTTTCCTTTTGGTCAACAACAGGTACAGTCCTGGTTCTGCTGTATAATTAAAGTTGGGCAAATACCTACCCTTTCTCAACCCCTTTCCTCATCTTTGACACGTGAATAACAACTAGTTTGCCTCATGGGTTTCACGAGAAATCAGTGCAGTGCACACCACCATCAGCATCAAAAACATGAAGTTGTATTTACTGTTATCGTTATTATTGCTGATAGTAAAATTACACCACAGATTTCTTAGTGACCTTGAGCCATCTTCTCTTAATAGAATCGAATCCGGCAAAAAAATCATCCAACCTAAATGAATAGTAAGTTAACATGAGGACGATCTGTATTTGATTTTAGCAATTAGTTCAGTAGAAGGTTATCAGTTTTTATAATGAATCCTGGACTTTGAAGTGCCATGTCCACTTCACTTAAAAGACTTAGGACTCTCCAGTGCAGTGGCCTGGCCTGACCTATTCCCATTACACACCATTATCCAACTCCACTCTGGCATAGAGAGGAAGAGGTCCACCTGCTCGGAATTTTCCCAGTCTCTTCACAGGAGAAACCTTGTTAAATAGGCCACTGTCTTTATTAAAACGCTCCTTCCACTTGTTGAGAAATTATCTGACTTGCACAAGTAACCCTCACCCCTTAGGGAGGGCAGGGGACTGCTTCATGGTCCTCTTGGTTCCCCTCTGAAGCTTGGGTCCTTTCTCAATAGAATTGCAGATCCTGGAAAACAGCTTGTCTTTTGTTAGCTAACTTTGACTAAAGAATCGGTGCATTAAGAGCTTTGATTATCCACACTCCACGAATGCCTCCCTCTGATCTCTCCACATTTGACAAGAATCTCGATTCAGAAATTAAACGCTGTTTTCTCTAATGCACTTCTGTTTCCACTCAAGCAGCCTGCCTTGCGCATTTTAGTGGTATCCTGAAGTATAGAGCATTTTCCCGTCAAGGGGTAATTAAGATTTAACTCAAGAATCTATACATTTCAGACTAGGTTCCAGATGCATCTGAGGTCATCTCACACCCCTCCTCAGTTTCTGAAAAGCATTGCATGTTTCTTTTTCATATGTTAGAAATTTGACTTAATCTGCTTTTCAGTTTGCTGTATGCCTTGTCAAACTCCTGTCTCCAGTGTTATGGTCCTCTTTATTTGTATGTCCCAAAGAGCTCTCAAAACAAATAGGTATACAATAAAAATGCCTTTCACCACCTCCCTCACTTCTCTGCTCGCAAAACTGATTGCTTCTTGTAGAATCAATACCTTAGTTAATGGCATCCCTGTCAGCCAGTGACTCCAGCCAGAAATCTCTGTCCTGACACTGCCTCATCGTCCTCATTCAGTCCACACCAGATTCTTGATTTAACGTAGTATAAAAAAGTTTTGAGAATAGGGGTGGCATTAGGTGAGGTCAGATGCTCACTGCCAGCTGTCACAGATGTTCATTTTAAATACTATTCGACTTTCCCATCCTCTGCCTCCCACAGTCACTGTTTTAGACCTGGCCCAGATCAGTGCCTGGAGCTGTCTATCACAGCTCCCTTCCAATAAACTGTCCCACTCTGTGAACCCTGCTCCCAAATTTATAATGCGATTTCCCGCTCAGTGAGTTCAACGGGCCTTTGTCATCTTGAGGACAGACACAGACACCCTCATGTGGAGCCCTATGATTCAGCCTGTCTTTCCCAGCTTTCCAATCTCTGCTTCATTAGAGTGAATTTCTTGGGGTGTTCTGAGATATCATGTCCTTTTCAGGCACATAAGTCTTTCTTTGTGCATGCCGTTCTCACTTCTGAGAATGCTCTTACCCCTTCTTTCCTGATAAATTCTAGTACATCCTTGAAGACCATCTCAACTCCATCTCTTCTGAGAAGCCCTCCATGATTCCTCAGTTGCATTTGTATTCATACTCTGTTACAGTTCCCTGCTTATATTTCTGACCCTTCTTGACCCTAAGCTTGAAGTCAAGGTTTTGATCTTATTTTTGTACCTCGAACATGTAATAAATGCCAGGCACATAAGTCACAGTGAATGCTCTAATTTCTTTAAATGAATAGGAAAAAGCAAGTATTCATGAAAAGTAATTGACTCAAGCTGTGCTTTTTTCCTCATTACACATCAGCATTTTTCTCAGCAATAATACTGTGCTTTCTGTTTTGTTTTTAGTGCCTGTGTGTTAAAGGAGAGCCACCAAAGCCCCTTTCCCTCTTCTGCTGATACCAATCTTAACCAGTGGCTACATCCTTTTTGAAAATGTGTATCATTTCCCCCTGGGAAGTAGGACTCAGCCAATTTATTTACTAGCTTTGGTGATGACTATAGTTACTTTGGGGATGTTTTATTTTGAGATTCAAATTTTAAACTGCACCAAACTATTATCAGGCTTCTAGTTTTGCCTGTTTTAGAAATGACTTTCTGATTGCCAGAGTTTTTTCTAGTTATTCAAAATAACAAGCAATGAAAACACAGAATCATAAATGTCTATTGAGACATGAGCTCCTAATCTAAATCAACAAGTAAGTGGGTTTTGTGAGAGGCCACAGTTGAAATAATTACCAATGAACTGCATCTTTGAGGAGTTAGGGGAAAGTAATGGGATTCATTTTTAACTCACAGCAATTCTAAAAGCAAGAGCCTAGGCTTTCTGGAGTGGTTTTGTAATCAGAGGTTACCACAAGGCATGTCAGAACTTTTAACAGCTGGCTCCACAGTAAAAACAAGCTTCAGTCGTAAGGTGATTGCAGAGCGAGGAAATGATGGCTTTAGCCAGCTTTTGTCTTGTGTTTGATCTGTGGCTCACAAAGAGGAGGTTAATTTCAGCATAAGCTATTAGATTTATTTTTGAAAGAAGTCCATTTTAATAGCAACCTGCTGATGCTCTGAAATGTCCGTGAGCAGTAAGAAAGAGTGGGCTGGGAATATTCTGTTAGGACATATATCTTAGCTATCTCAGGGCCAGTAGTCAACAGAATACTTCACAATCACTCTAATTAATCTTTTTTTTTTCTTTTTTGCTGTCCTTCTCTACATTTGTTATATTCCAAATTATAAGAAAAATATATTTACTCAGTGTAGATAGTTGCAAAATACAAAACTCTCAAGGAAGAAAAAAATGTTTCCCAGGGAGTCATTACCCAAAGAGAATCACTGTAGTAACGTGGTTTCCACAGAGTCCTCCCCACACACACACAAACATACATACTTTGAAAATTCCTGTGATAAAAACTTTCACAGGCATAAGGGAGAGTTATACAGTGATTCACTCACATTGGAGTGAGCATTGCTGTTCAGAGCTAGAATCACAAGTGGTCAAGATTTTGCCACTGTGATTCCATCTGTTCTCCTTTTTCTGTTCCCTTCTTTCCTTTTTAAAATATCAACTACTTCAAAAAGGAAAGAGGAATTCTAATATTATGAGGGCTGTGGAAAACAATTATTTGCTGCCTATTCCTCATACTCCTTTAGGAAGCACAAAGTACGGATTTACACTTAGTATTGCGTTGTACTTGGAGCATAAGCGGCCTTAAAGCTCAGGTGTATCACATGCTAGATGGGTATTGATTTTTCCTCTTAAATCAATGTTTCCCTAGAGCATAGTTTTATTTATTCATAAAGCTCAGATGATGTCTGACAGGAATTACAGCGGTGTACATCCATGGGGCAGGCGCAATAAGAAGAGCTTTTGTAAGACTCAAAAATCAATGAGCCAATGCTAGAGGGGAACCTCATAAAACTAGAAAAGCACATTCACTATTGCTTCCACACGTAAAAGGAAATTTTCAGCACAGGGGTAACTTTCACTTCTCTGGGTTCTATGATCCTTTCTAAATGGGCCTAACAGCGTGGTGTCTAAAGCCAGGCCGCACCTGTCCAATATTAATATGTGTGTTTTCTACTCAACCTTAACTGATTTTTTTTTTTTTACTGGTTGAAAAATGTATCTGATGGCTAGAATGTTGCTATATGGAATTCCAGATGTCCAATATCCTATCGGCTACCCAGTCTTATCATAGTGGAAGGGATTGGAGAGTCAGGTGACCTAGACACGGATTTCATGATCTACTCCTGGCTGTTGTGTGACCTAAGTGAGGCAAGTTCTTCAATATCTCTGGGACTAAGGTTTTTGTTTATACTTTTACTCATTTATCTCATTTGCTTATAGTGTTGTTCATTTCTGTACTTTGCTCTTTTAAAGAGCAGTAAGCATATGAGATTGGCAGGCACGCATCACTTCTTGATTTCCATAGACTTCTGTACATCTCTTTGGCTTAAAAGTAACTAGTTATATGCCTGGGATTTAGCTCAGTGGTTCTGCTGCCTCTCTCGCAAGCGCAAGGTGCCAAGTTCGATCCCCGGTACAAAAAAAAGAAAACAAAAAACAAAAATGTAACTAATATTATTGTGTTAGAAGGAGGAAATGTAAAAGAAAAAAAGGGGTGGGTGAGAGAGGATTAGTTTACAGGAAGAATAAGATTTCTTCCAGTTTTAAACGCCCGTGGTTTTCAGTGAAAAGATTTTAAATGGCTAGCTCAGCAACAAGGAGGCACACACTTCTTTAGGAACTTGACAGCCAGCGAGGACACCACATTAGCTCAGAACCTGGATTCTTGTCCCTGCTCCCTTGACCAGCTGGGTGTTCTGTCAGACCTGTGGCTCCTGGGGACCCAACTCCCTTGTCTGAATCTTAGGAGAGCATTTAAGGTACTGTTCCTGTGGATCTCAGCCCTTTCCCCTCCCCTGGTGACAACAGTGGAACCTCTGGCACCTCTTCAG